CCGGGGGCGGGCACCGCAATCACCCGCATCCGATCGCACCCGGCACTGTCCTCCCCAGGGGGAGACACCGCCTTGCTGGCTCCCCCCCCCCCCCCCCCCCCCCCCCCCGAAAACAGAATTCGAACGCATGGTCCAGGCGAACCTGTCCAGCGGGGAGATCATTGTCTCGGACTTTGCCACCGCCCTCGGGATGCTGACTAGCCGCGAGAATCGGAGCTCCAGTAGCCGGACCGGGGCCCAGCGCAGCCTGGCCCTATCGGTGGATGATCTCTTGCAGCGGGGCCTGCCGTTGGAAAGCTGGTTCGAGGATTTGCAGCGCGTGGTGCTGAATACCGCGTGGGATGAGCTGCGCCAACTGCTGGACAGCAGCTCCTTCGTGGCCTTCCAGATCGAGGATGCCGTGTTGGCGGCCATCAACCAGCAGCCGGGCTTGGCCACCAGTGGCGAGGGGGCCGACTCGGCCACCGGCGACGGGGATATCCTTTCGGCCCTGGAGGGGCATGTGCCGACTGGGCGAGTTGGCGCCCCGCGGCCACGTCACGATGACGACCCCGCGCGACCGATTGTTGGCCTCTTCCACGCGGATGGGACCCCGGTGGCCGGATCGGCGCGAGATGCCCCCGGTGCGGATCCGGCCACCGGCGAGCAGGCTCCAGCCGAGAAGGAGATCGACACGCGGACCATTGCCGAGCGCGTGGATACCCCCCTGCGTGAGGCCATTGTGGCCAAGATCGCCGCTGGCCTGGAGGTATGTCAGCGTGCTGGCTTGCCTGTTTCTTCGGGCTTTTTTTTTGGCCCTTTTCTCTGGTATTGCTGTTGCTGCCATTGCCGCCCCTCTGTCGTCGCCACTCCCCGGCTGGGTGGTTTGCGCTGTGCATGTGTATTTTTTTTTACGCGTCCCCTAACAAGTACGTCCCTCGCCCCCTCGCCCTCTTTTCGTGCGGGCGTTCGGTGCTCGCGCACCTTGGAAAATCCGTGGGTGCGCAGACCGATGCGCGGTTTTCCATCTTCTCGGCCGAGGGGTCGCTCAGCCACCAGCGGATGGTTATCTTGCGGGAGTTCGTCGATGCGGCCATCAACCGGATGTCGAGCGATCACTCCACGCGGCCGGTCATTCAGCGCGTCGAGTGAGGCAGGGTGCTGACGAGGGCCGTGGGCTTTCCGCGGCAGGTGTGCCCCGTGCTCCTTTGTCCCTGCTTTTGCGATTTTCAACTCCGGAATATACACGCACATGCACAGTTCGGCGGACATGCACGGGCCTGGGCAGCGGTATTGCGGCGCAAGTTCCAGCGTGCGCTGGCGTGTCCGAGAAGAGTATATATATATATGTCTAAACGAGCAGCAGCAACAGTAGCGACAGCAGCAGCAGCAGCAGCAGCGGCAGCAGCAGCAGCAGCAGCAGTACGACATCCTCACATAGGCGAATGGGCATCCATCCACCCACCCACCCACACGCACGATCAGACAAAGTGGCGTGCAAACTTGCCAGCACCCGCGGGTGCCTGGGCACGACGGGGTTCTACTCCCCCCACGCATCTCTCTCACCGCCGAGGTGTGCCGTCTCACTTTGGAATGTGGCCTCCTACTCCACATTAGGACGCGCGGCCGATCGCCGAGGGTCATGGTGCCACGCCGGCTACTGGCGTGGCTACGCCCTCCCAGCCCTTCAGGCACACACACACACACACGCACGTCCGGTCGCATCATTCCTTCTCTTGTGGAGATGGGGGGGGGGGGCGCGAATGGCGGGGAGGCCCGACCACACCCTACGGGAGGCAGCCCAGTTGGCTAGCGCGACCAGCCCCGCTTCCCCCCTCAGCAACGACGCACCAGCACGCTGCAACCGCTGCAGGGCGGCCAGGCTCGAATGTTGGTCGATCGCGGGAGCGGGGAATGTGGGGCCCCGTCGGCCGGCTGCTCCGGCCAGGCTGCGTGCATTTCTGTCCGGGGCCGGCGACTGGTGCCTTGTGTACCAACCACCGGCGGGGCCTGTGCGGGGGAGCGTGTGTCCATGCGTCCGTGTGTCCGTGTGTGAGCATGTGTGTGTTTGTCCGGCCCAGGAAGCGGGGGCGGTGCGTGGGGGTGCGGGGGCGGGGGCGGGGGCGGGGGAGTTGCCAGCGTGATGCCCTGCTTGGACAACCGCCGGGCTCGGGAGCCGGGGGGGGGGAGAGGCGGGCGGATGTTCTCGGCGTCGGCCAGGCCTGGGCCGTGGAGGCGCCTGCCGGGGCGCAACGGGGCATAGGAGCACCCGTTGGCATTTGGCCGGTGAAACAGCGCCTCCTCTCTGGGGCCCTCCCCCGGCCCTGAGCGCGGGTCTTGCGCAGCCTGCCGCGCGCCGCCGGTGCCCATTCTCAGGGTCGGCACAGCCCCCTCTGGCGGAGGCTCTGTAATCCTCGGTCCGGGTGCGGGTGCGGGTACAG